TTTAAGTGTCGCATTAGGGCTACATAGCCAGTGAGATTACACAACTCAATTGCCCGTGGAAATATCGATGGGCTCAAGAATCTGGGTTGATGCTGCTTTGACGTCACTCCTACGCCAGATGCCGGTGATCGACCTGGCCATACCTACTGTTCTCCAGACACAGGTACATTTGGACCTAGGGTATGCTGTCCCTTATCAGACACCGTGTTTGATTGGTTGGACATGGCTATACGTCAGTCCATCTGGGATCGGAAAAGCCGATAATCGTACTTGTTGCTCCACTATATATATACTGCCCACCTTCGTTGTCCTTTTCCTTGTACCTCTCTAGTGACTGCTCATAACCTCATTGATTTTCTATACTGTCTACCTGTACTATACACAATGTCTTCCATAATCAACACAAGCACCGGCAACCAGCCCGTCGACCCCTACAAGGCCAAGAGCGTCGAAGACCCCCCTCTTCAGCAAAAGGTCGAGGACATGGTCAACTTCATCAGCGAGACCAAATTCGGCATGTTGACGACGAAGCTGTCCAACTCGGACCTCTTGACGTCTCGATGCATGGCGCTAGCAGGAAAGGTACTGCATAATTCTCCCACCAAAACGACGGAGGAGAGCGCTGACGCAATGGGGATTCCAGGAGCACGGTGGTATCGACCTCATCTTCCACACGAATCTCTTCTCAAGCAAGACGATGGATCTCACAATCCACCCGTCAGAAGTCAACATGTCCTTCCTGGATCCCGTGAGCGGCTCCTGGGCTTCGATCTCCGGCACTGCGGCTCTGATCGCCGACCAGGAGACCGTCAAGAAGTACTACTCGCCTGCGTTGAAGGCATGGCTGGGTGACCTGGGCGACGGTGTGCATGACGGTGGCCCGGGAGATCCGCGAATCGGCGTGATCAAGCTCGAGGCCAAGCTGGCGACATATGCTATTACGCGCAAAGGGATGATTGGCAGAGCCGTGGAAACTGTCAAGAGCGTCTCCAAGGGTGATGTTCCTGCCATCAGCAGTCTCAGGCAACTGAGTGAGGAGGAACTGGCTGAGTGTAAGTCCATCCGAGGACGTCACAGCAATACCCTCTTTAAGTACTTTGCAACGTATGCTGACTTGCTCAAGGGCGCCGGACGCACCAATAATTGTAGCTTCTGCTGGAACGGATTCATGTTCACGATTTTACGAACTCCTTGAGCTGTTTTGGCTGCGAGCATTCCGGTAATGTTTCTGAGAATAATTGATTATGTAGTATGAAAAACAACATTGTGAAATCTTAGCGACGCATGCTTAACCGGAAAAATATGACAAAGATTTCACCAAAACAACTTGAATATCGTACAATCATACGCCATGGGTATCTATCGTAGTATAGCTCCGCCGAAGGAAAAGAGTAACGCCGCGAAACAAATCGTGAGAGTCGTAAGACAGTGATAAGACGTGAAAACACAATCAAATCTAGGAGTATATCAGCATGGAGATCAGAACACAGCCAAGAACGGATCCTACCAATCTCAAAGGCATACGAGCTGGGATGCGCCCGTTGTGGAGGAGCATAGCAATGTTCTTGTTCGGAGTGGCTTGAAGCTTACGATAAGCCTCACGGATGTGTCTTGGTTCAACCGGCGTACGTCCCTCTTCGGGAGGATCGAAAAGACCGGTTTCTCGTTTCCGCTTCTTCGTGTTCTCGCCTGCTCCGCTCTCTGCTCCTCCGCGACGGATCTTCTCACGGTCCTCACGTTCCTTGACCTTGAGAGCTTCTTCGGTCAGCGTCTGAACTATTTCAAACGTCAAGAACCCAAGGATATCGACGATATCGTCATTGGGTTTCGACTCCGTCACGATGCCAAAGCCAGCCCACTCTCGAAAACGCTTGCTCTTGCGATAGGTAAACGACGCTTGACGGCATTCCGACCAGAACACATACTCTTCTCTGGTCATGTTCTTTGTGCGTTCATCAGCGGCTGCAAGACGTTGAAGAGTTGCATAGTTCTGCTCCTCTTCCTCCTCATCTTCTTCGTCTTCTCTCTCCGGTACCTGGACGGAGTAGAAGCTGTTTACATCCCACACAAGGCCCACACGCGCTCTCTTGTTTTTCGGTTTGGATGCAACATCTTGGGGCCCAGCAACAACGCCTCCCGCAATCGGGTCGTCAGCACCTGCGAAGTCCGCAGCGTCGGCGCCGCCTTTATCGTCCGAGTCTTTGACATTTTTACGGACATCTTTCCAGGAAAGGAAAGTCTTAAGACGTGAGACTTTGGCCTTGTCATGTCGAATTAAGAATATCAAATCATCCGTGGAAATGGACCGCACGCCCCGACGTGTAGCCAACGTTGTGCTTCGTGCGAGCTGCAGTGACAGTGTTAATCAAGCATCACGCCTCATGGAAGGAAGAGCATACGATTTCAATCACTTGCTGGCGAACGATATCCTCAATAAGTGTTGTTGTTTCAACGGATGGTTCGGCAGTCTCTCCAGAGACGAACATCATCTGCGAAAGAGGTCAGCAAGGTGAGTTCGAAATCTGGCATGGTACCTGAATCCGTTTCCGAAAGATTGAAGCCTTCTCGGACGGCATCCCGAGCATCCCCGTCTGATACAGATCGAACCGAACAACGGGCACTCTGGTCCGAGGAAGCATCAAAATCATGGCGACTCAGCAAGAGATGCCTCGTCGTCATATTCGAGCCTCCCGGTGATCAGAAGATGAGCACTTGAAGTGCAGTGATCTGCCTCCCTAGATGGCTCGCTCTTTCTGACGAAAGGATGACAGGAAGACGACACGAGACTGAGGAGGGAGCAAGCAACGCTGTAGACAAAAGGACAGGAGAATAGGTGATAACAGGATTGGTTTAACACAGTGCATATAGAAGAAACAGCACATAGAACAGCAAGTCCTTGCAATATATCACTAGTAGAGGATAACATATCGAGGGAAATCGGGTGTCAACTACACGATATGCCCCAATCCAGATAAAATCAATGGCAAGGAGACCAACGATACCCGGAGCTTTGAGCCAGGCAATCGAGCGAATACACAATGATAGGAAATGAGATCATTGCAAGCCATCGTACGAGATGAAAGAGCTGAAAGGGTCCTACAGAAAAAAGCCGCTGACTTACCTGCTGGATCTCCTGCCGATACTTCGGTGTTCGATCGGTCGTCATATTGAATTCGCTTAACGCAACGAAGGGCGTCAATCAGACGTAGAGGCCGGAACGTAAAAGAGAAAGTCTGATGAAGAATGACACTTCCCAATTACCAAACCGCACGACACTTACCTTACGCTTAAACTATCGAACGATCTGATCTGATAGGAAACTGACCAAGCGCGGCCAGGGACCATTCCGATGCTCGGGGCTCGTGTTTTTCCGCATTCCGCTTATCCCACCGTAGGTGGTGGGGTGGAAGACAGAAATTCTGGACGGGAGTGACATTCTCCGATTCTACAGACGTCAAGTCCATTGGACGAATATTGCTATTGAATCTTCATCCAAGATGCTGTACCTCGTTGGTCTTGGTCTGGCTGATGAAACTGACATCACTGTCAAAGGCCTGGAGGTTGTCAAGAGAGCTGAGCGGGTTTACCTCGAGGCATACACAAGCATTCTGCTAGTGAGCAAAGAGAAGCTAGTGAGTCCATTGCGAGACGCTGCTGTACGGTAGTTGGCTAAAGAATGGACTGGTGCATTAGTAGGAAGCGTTCTATGGACGTCCCGTTATTGAAGCAGACAGGGAACTGGTTGAGACCGGCAGCGATGAGATACTGGCTGGAGCCGACAAGGCGGATATCGCATTCCTTGTAGTCGGCGACCCTTTTGGGTAGGTTCCCTCACATTTCAGGACTATGCGACCTTGCCTAATTGCCTACAAGCGCCACGACGCATACGGACTTGGTTCTCCGAGCTCGAGAGATGGGTATTGAATCCAAGGTTATCCCGAACGCCTCGATCATGTCCGGCATCGGCTGCACTGGTCTGCAACTTTACAATTTCGGACAAACTGTGAGCATGGTGTTCTTCACGGAGAATTGGAAGCCGTCCTCTTACTACGACCGCGTCAAGGAAAACGTTCAGTTAGGTCTCCACACATTAGTGCTCTTGGATATCAAGGTCAAGGAGCAATCGTATGAGAACATGGCCAGAGGACGGAGGATATTTGAACCTCCGAGGTACATGACCGTCGCTCAATGTGCGAGCCAGATGCTGGAAACAGAGGAAGAACGAAAGGAAGGTGTCTTTGGACCCGACAGCCTTGCAGTCGGAGCTGCTAGAGTTGGCGGTCCTGATCAGAAACTGGTAGTGGGCACTCTCAAAGAACTGTCAGAGGTGGACATGGGGCCGCCTTTGCACAGCTTGGTGTTCCTTGGAAGAAAAGCGCATGATTTGGAGAGGGATTATATCAGAGAATTTGCTGTGGATAAGACAACCTTTGATGCCAGCTGGAAGAAAGGGTATGGGGCAACTTCATGATGATTAAGTATCATATTTGCATTATCCTTCAGGCACAATACAACACGGACGCAATAGCACTCCGTACAGCAGAGTCATTGTACTAGAGTGGAGATGATCGGAGAATTACCTGCCTAGTTTTGAAGTGCAGTAGTACCATAGTTCCGCATGGGGATACTCTGCGCTAAAATTAGTGCATCAAAACAGTCGTTAAATATCTGATTGTTTGCATATCAATTGTCAAAAGAGGCAGAGCGATGCAGACAGGTCCAAAGGCGCATGGTGGCACCGTTGCACCATTCTTGAGACATTCGTCGACGGGGTTTTGAGTTTAGCGCCAAGTTCCCAGTCCACCTGGAAAATGATCGATTAAATGCGACAGGTAGCAAACACTTCTTTCCACCCTGCCATACCTTTTGTGCAACGACATGCCCTTCGCACAACTTCAATGCTAATATGAAGCTGTGCACAAAGTCATTTGGGCCATTGCACCCTCGCTTCTCCAGCAAGAGACGCCAGATTTAGCGACCGATTCGAGCTCCTCCCCGCCATGCCTGTATACATGGTCCACGGCTTCCGGTGGCCACGCGCCGGTTTCACTGGTATCCGAGTCTACATCGTTCTCCACAACCTGGAAGACGCTACAGCGGAATACGTCCAGCAACCGGCGACAAGTCGACTGCTTATTGAATGCTTCAAGAAGACGGATCCGGATATCGTAGCTCGTCTACCGGACCTACAATTCATCGAGCAATATGACCCCGAAGACACCGATAGCGCAACCGCTGTCAGCCAGCCTTATGCCTACGTCGCGGCCAAGGTGATCACACTCTCCGAACCTGGTGCTAAGGCGCCTGGGCTCAGCTGGAACCCCGAAGACTTGGCTAAGGACTCCCCTTTGGATCCAAGTGCCATGGAAGCCCTGACCCAACTCCGAGATAAGTACGCCGCAGGCGAGAGAATAGGCTGGTGGATTGTTTACAATGGGGACCCAGACAGGGCTTTCCCTCATTCCGAGGAAGACGACAGTTATGATGAATACGATTATGATGATGACGATGATGAATACACGGAATCAAATGGCGATAGTGTTAGGAACTCAACAGCACCAGAAACGCCTCCTAGCCCGGCGGTAAGCCTTTGCTCTCGTGCTGCTGAGGTTGATATTTGAGACCGATTATACTGATATTTTGGCGCATTCAAGGCTCGATTCCCAGTGAAGTTCGCCAGGTTTTTTGGCAGGTAATCGGCAAGATACTACTAACTTACGGCGAACGGATCTCACAAACTCCCATTCCTTGCGATTTCTTGCGGAAGAACTCTTTCATAACACCTTGTCATAGCATTTGTAACCTAGGAGTATCGGTTCTACAACAGTTCAGTCTCAACATTCGCATCGCAAATGATCATTAAGTCTGTCGCTCTACAGATGTAGAAAGGAGTGTAACCAGTCACCAGCTTAGTAGTAGTATCGGATGCGCATCGATCGTCATCGACATATCTTGATCGTTAACAGCGAATATCAGCGCGAGCTCAGAGTAAAGGCGGTGAGAGATGGCAATATATAGATCGAGGCCCTGATACCATTGCGGAGAACCTCCCGGAGGTAGTGACTGATATGTGTTCAACTACGCCGCCTCCTCAATTCTGCAAACCGCCGGGGAAATAAAAAGCGGGATGGTTCTTTCATTCATACTGGTGCAGAACCGCCAGTGAGTTACAGGCTCTGGACTGATTGAGTTAGCCTTGCCTTCTAACGGATGAACAGGGGTAAGACACGCCTGGCGAAGTGGTATGCGCCTTATAGCGTAAGTGGTCTTAACTTTCTGGTTCTGGTACAAGTTGCTAACTCGTCGCTTGCGTAGGATGAGGAGAAAGTAAAACTCAAGGGCGAAGTGCGTGGTCTTCCGAAAATCCTCCTTCCTCCGATATACAATATCGAATCCACACGACTAACCGGTTGATAACAGGTTCATCGTCTTGTCGCTCCCAGGGATCAGAAGTATCAGTCGAACTTTGTTGAGTTCAAGCGGAGTACAAAGATTGTATACCGGAGATATGCAGGGCTGTTCTTCTGTGTGTGCGTTGACGCGACGGACAATGAGCTAGCCTACCTAGAGGCTATACATTTCTTCGTCGAGGTCCTGGACCAGTTCTTTGGCAATGTCTGTGAGCTGGATCTGGTATTCAACTTTTACAAGGTGCGTGCGGTCTATTTAGCGTGTTTATAGCCAGGGACATCGAGGGCTGCAGGAGATGTAAGGCGATTGTGGAACAACCATGGTGCTAACTGGAGGATGTGTGCAGGTATATGCGATTCTCGATGAGGTGTTTCTCGCGGGCGAAATCGAGGAAACAAGCAAACAGGTTGTGCTTACGAGGCTGGAACACTTGGATAAGCTAGAGTGAGCACTTGGGGGCCAAAATTTCGTCGCAGAGGGGATCACTCGCTTCGCCGTTACGTTGATAAAGCGGACGTTAATTTGCATCAAGGTGACTTTGGGATATGGTCATCTCACGGAGTTATGAGGGCTTGATTTAAGGATTGTCTCATATTTGGGCGCATTTCTCGTCGCGTCCATATCTGCATCACATTTACCGTTCTCTCTTGTATCTAATTTCGAATACATTGATACCCTATTCGTGGGATTTGAGGGTTCAGAAGTTAGGCAGCACAAATGAGAGATGTACTCTGTAGGGCCAGCGAATAACAGCCGAAAAATCTGCCGTGATGCTTGAACAAGGCTAGCGGGGTACATGATGGTCAGACATGCCGACCTAACCCATCCAACAGCAACAGGCAACAATAATACCGATGAGTTCTTGATCTATCAGGATGCAGCCCCTTCATTTAAGCTCAATTAACGTTCGCGAGCTAAATTTGACTGCCTGTGATCTGAACTAAGAGGACTTCTTACCAAAACTGGGATGGTTGAAGAGGATGAGGTGACCAGGGTCTGCGATTGCGATAGTAGTAGTTATTGTGACAACATGTCTTGGCATCAGGTATAAGAAGGCATAATGCCAGGTTCCTTCCAAGTCTTTTGCTTGATGCCATGTTCTTTCATGGCGAAGCAGGATACAATCTGTCTCTCAATCCCTCTTTGAACGATTTGACTTGAACATTCGCCTCTCTTGCGGCACATTAGCGGATTGCTTGGCTCTCACTACTCGCCAAGGTGGAACAAGACTATACATAGAAGCTGACTTGTAGCAAACTCACAGGCGACTCAGAGATCAGCAGCCTTCTGATGCCTCATGGGATGATGATCACGAGCTCCAACTGAGGCCGACGGCGACTCATCGACAAGCGACCATACCTCTCTTACTTCAACGAGAGTTCAGATTACACAGCTAGAGCCACCCATCACTTTGCACAGTTGTCGATGACCAATACCTACCATCTGCCAAGCTGAACTGGAGCCAGTCGAAGATCATCATAAGGCATCCGACGATTCTTACCATATCAACAAACAATCGAATCACAATCAGCCATATCCGTTTCTTGGCTCCCAGGCCACCCACCCAGGGGCCCAGGAGTATGAAATCGCGACTACCACTGGCACCATGGCACGAGTCAATCCAGGTCGATCAAACGGCAGACAGGGTGGTCTTCTTGAAGATGAAACTATGATTTGTGGCGACGACAATCAAAGGGGAAATGAAGATGACCATAATAGTGATCAGTTACCCATGGACAACAATACGGCAGGCGGGGACAAATCGGCAGAGAACCACATTGCCACTTGCCTTCAGACTTGAATCCACTTTCTGAGAAAACCTTTTGATTGTGTTGACGGCGGAAGACCCAGAAATGCAACCTTTGAGGCTATACAAGTGGACCTCCGTACGAACATCTCAATGCCACCACGAAAGCAAAGGTACCTAAACAGGGCAAGAAGCAGACGACCGTATTACAGATTTACAGGCTTACTCACGCATTATCTCGCTCGCGGGTGAAGGCCCCACCCGGAATATCGGCCCTGTTCTAGAAGGATGAATGATACGGTCTTCCTACCCCTATCTAGTCTTCTATACCGAGTTCTTGCGGAGTTTAGCCCGAGCTTGACAATGGACGTCAAACGAAGTCTTGGCAATGTTACAAATTTACAAGTCCGAGTTACAAAGGCCTTAGATTTGTCCCAAAGCCCAGAGGGCCGAATTCTATGCATGACCGTTATTTGGCATCTCTGCACTCTCTATGGCTGTCGCAGGCTGCATCATAGAGCGTTGCCTCTGCTTTGGAAAAGGATTTGGAATCGATTCATAACCAAACTCACACATGGGTACCTCAGGGAAATTCCAAGTTCTAGACTACCTAACTTAATGTGCAGGTCATGGTACTTGTACGGAGTAACCCATTATCATTACAGGTATTAGTGAAATGTGGGGCGGTACCTGCGTTTCAGACCTTGCATACGGATATTTGGCAAGTTCGATACGCGTCAGCACGGCCGCCCGCACCCAATCAGGGACCGAAGGCGCATCGCTTCGATTAATGACCTTTTTCGCATTATCACTTTCATCAGTGTGTCTACGCGGCAGATCTTTTGGGTTTGCGGTCCAGCGGTCTTGGCAGGCCTCTCTGTCCGGTCTAAGAGGCCCAAATGATTGAATTTCTCCGTCTCAAGTGGCCCCGTTGTCAAGCAAGAGCTTTGCCTAGGGCGTACGCAGTTACAAACTTGGAGCGCCTATCTACGTTGAGATATCTTCCTGGTGGAAAAAAGGCGGAGTGTCACCTCCTGACGATCCTTTGCTTTTTTCTTGGGTGCGTCAGCCAGTGACGTTATTTCAGTCGTCGGCGGTGCTTCAAAGCGCCCAAAACGTGGGCGGAGTCCAGACAGATACGGATAGGGAGATGAGAGTTCAACCCTAAGTTTAGAGGGGTAAGGAGAAAAGTAATTACGTGGATTAAGGAAGGAGACAGCGTGATCAAGAACAAGAATAGGGAATCAAGAAAAAATTACCAACGCCACATTACGCACTAGGTTGATAACCGTCTCCAATGCATACGGAGTCTGCAAATAGATCAGAGGATTGCGGATTGCTCCAAGCTTTCATCCGCTTGTAACAGGAGTACTGTATATTGCCAATCCTGATTGGATTACCAACTAATTATTATTCTATATTCACTCTTTCAGATGTTACAAGTTACAGCGTCCTTGGCACCGGCTACTATTTTTTTCTGGGAATGGTAGGAACTTATACATAACTATCATTGATCTACATCGCAAGAGGGTCGGTCTCCTTTTAACCAGTTCCATCGTCCTTTCTTTGCTTTAACACTACTCTCTTTTTAAACCTGATTGTGCTCTCTTTGGCTCCTTTGTTATCTCTGCGTCTTGTCTAAGTTTCAAGGTCATCCTTCTACACATTCGTTATCGGCGGATACCTCTTCTGTATTTCAAAATAAAACACCTAGAACTATAACTTTTTTGCCACAATATACAATGTCGTTGATGCACGCCGACAACCTGGCTCCTCAGCCTGTTACAGATATCTTCACTAGCGACACATGCATTGACCGGAGAAAATGCCACCGGACAGTGCCTATGAAGGTGCTTGCGCTTGGAGTGGGAAGAACTGGCACTGCGTGTATGTTCTGTTCCTTATGAATTCACGCCGTATACCAGTCGTCTGACAGTTTACTAGCCCTCCGCAAGGCCCTTGAGCGATTGGGATACGTCAAATGCTACCACATGATGTCCGCCAGCGTGGAGAACCCTCCTGACTGCCTGATGTGGCACGATGCTCTCTGCGCCAAATACGACGGTGTGGGTGAGTTTGGCAGAAAGGAATGGGATCAGTTGCTGGGAGACTGCCAGGTATGTTTGAACGGCTGGAAAGATAGAAGGAAAGCAACCGCTGATGTCGCTTCAGGCTGTCTGCGACTGGCCTGCTTGCGCCTTCGCCAAAGAGTTGATCGAAGCCTATCCCAACGCCAAAGTCATTCTGTCGACCCGTGATGTGGACTCATGGCATGCGTATGTTCTGCTCTATAAGTTTATTCAAGAAGAGAAGTTCAAGTCTAACTCCGTCTGCAGTTCCGTCATGAAGACCGTTTTCTGGCGTGTCACCGACCCCGAACACCGTCTCGTTTCCAACTTCAGCTGGGCCGCCAGCATGTACTACCCCATGCTGAACAAGTTCTTTGAGACGTTCTTCCGTGGGGACTTCCCCAACAAGGGCAAGCAGGTCTACCTTGATCACGTGGAGGAGGTCCGCAGCTTGGTTCCTCCGGAGAGACTGCTCGAGTACCAGATCAAGGACGGCTGGGGACCGCTGTGCGAGTTCCTGGGCGAGGAGGTCCCTGACACTCCCTTCCCCCGCGGAAACGACATGGCGGACTTCTTCAACCGCTGCCGCACTCGCAACAGGCGCCAGATGATGAACGCTGCTCTGCAGGCTTTCACCATGGGTGGAGCCTTGCTGGCGACTGGAGTTGCCGCTGCTATGGTTTTCAAGCGCTTCTCTCGGTAATGACTTTCTTTTTTTCCTATTTGGTCCGACATGTGCGCTGGCGCCATGGAGCTTTGACCTGTCCCACGTTTCAGACTTTGAACATTACTTTAATCTCTTCAAAATGTGTATATGCTGATTTCCTAATGTTACCACCGGTTTGCCCACCTTCGTTTTGTTCGGGGTTTGATCCTCAACGCACAATTGACAAACGATATCTTCCCATTTGGTCGTGGTCTCTCGTCCAAGACCGCAGCGGTGGAGAAATTGCTTGGCTCAAGGGCTGGAATTTATAGAGCGAGAGTTCAGGCCTCCTTCTTAAAAGAAATAGATAATCCAAAATGCTGCTGCCTAGCCATCTCAATAAAGTTGAAATGTAATGCTCCTTCCTAGCCTATGATATTCCGACTCCTTCAGCCCTGCCATTTCTTGGCCTCCTTGGTACATGTATAGGAAGCTCGGCATTCCCCATCATGCCGGCATTCAGTGGAAGTTGGAAGGTCGCCAGTCTTGGCTGAGACATAGCATTCGAGATGGGCAGCCCTACGGGGTATGCTGGGGGGTTCTTTACTTGCCCGCGTGCTTGGCTACAGGAGTAGTTTCTTGGTGTCCCAGGCAGGCAGATATTGCCTGTTGATTGGGGCATATTGACAATAATTGACGATTCTAATTTCAGGTATGTAACCTGGCCTTGAGGATGCCGGATACCCGAGATCATCAAAACCTGTGCATCGCGCAGTAGAACTTGTCTCCAGGCTGAATCTGACAGGCAAATCCTGGCTTGTGATTTATTACGGAACGATACTTGCAGGTCACTATTCATAGATTGCTGCAAGCACATCAACTGTCAATGATCGATCTGGAAGGCACAACACGCAGCAGTAGATAGAATCGTGCCACGTCGATTGGAATCTGTGATGTATGCTTGTGAAGTCGTACGTAGCCCAGTACGTAACCCTATGCAAATATCCTATGTAGAACGCACTCCTTAACTCCGTGCCCCAGCAACCCCCTGTCGTCAAAACCGGGAGCCAGGACGAACTAGTCTACTCTAAGGACAGTATTTTTTACGAATACGGCGAATGCAGTGGGGTGGCTTCAGCCACAGTCACGACTACTGGACCGTACTGACGCTGTGGCCTCTGCTAACCTTTAGTGTAGTCTAGGTAGCGTGACGTGGCGTAGATACAGGAGCTTGTCTGCTCGGCTTTACAATGGCTGATGTTTTGCGACGAGGTATATTATACTGGTATGATACGGTGGTGTTTTATACGGGCTTGTAATATTGGTATGGGATATCTACCTTACTGATAAGGTACCGACCTCAGTAGAATAATACCTGGATATGGTCATCTCAGGTAGGGAAACATATGATCGTCAAGCTATAAACAATTCATCTGTGATTCTCCAAATGGGCCGCAAGCCCACGAGTTCACGAAAGTCTGGGATCTGCGCTGCGTAGCTGATGTACATGAACTAATCTTCCCTGGCGGGAGCTTGTTGCTTGCGTCGACATGCGGTATCGGCGATGATAATTTCATTTGTATCTCCACCTTCGAATGCCAACTTACTGTCAGTCTCACTAAGTGCTGTTCATCAGGAGAACTGCAATCCATTCCTTGTGAGGTATCTAGTTATCGTTTTTGGACTTCTATTAAAAGCCCCGCGCAACTCTATCAGACCAATCATAGAAAACTGATGGCGTACACAATGGTGAAGGCCCCACCTGACTGGATTGCTTTTAGTTGAGCGAGTCTCTGAATCGGTATGGTGCAGTCTAGGTGGAATCAAGAAATTGGATAGGTACTTCTATGTAGCTAGATAACTATCTTGGGCCCATGACTTTAGAATGAAAGCTTGAAGCAGCGTTGTCTTGACTCTTCAACTGAAACGCTTGTGCTGCGTCAACCTTCTGCGTGTTTCCCGTCTCTCTGCAGATCATTCCCGATCGTCTTCTCTCTTAGGGGGGAAGTGTCACATATATCATTGAACCCTGTACATCGTTTGATACTGTTCCTCGTTGCCCTTGTGGTGTCAACTGCGACCTCGTCCGATACTCCCATCGTCCTGGGGTTCCTTCTCTCCGCCGGAGTCCGAATGCGAGGATATGAAGTATCCATGACATGATTGTCCTCACTCACGTAACTGGAGGATTGGCTCCGTCATTAGCCTTTCGCTTCGTTTCATTTTTGCTGATCCTTCTGCTATGTTGCTTCGAGCGCGTTGTCGCAGAAGTCGATTCCGAGTTCAAATCCGTGAGTCTGCTATTTTACGGCGTTTTTCTTCAACTATAGTGGCGGCGTCTCAACATGAGACAGGACAACGCAGCTAATCGATGACCTCCGGCGCTATCTCTAGAGGCCTGATCTGTACCCGCCGGTCTTCACCGTTGAACAAAGCGAACCGAAGAAGCTCAGTCCAGGGTACATCTTTCTTGGCCCGTATGAGGCCGATAATTCTGGGCCATATATCTATGATACTGAAGGGGTAGGGATTATCGTTATTTCCGTCGAGTTATACAGTCAGAATATCAGCTGATATCGGACAGAATCTAGTATGGAGCGGCTGGGGTAATTCGGGGCCTGGGAATGCCCATGGCATGCACGTATGCAAGTACAAGGGGGCGAATCACCTGTGCTTCTTCCAAGGGATCCAGCAGAATGGGTATTGCAGGGGTCATGGTGTCATTATGGACAACCGGTATCGCATTGTCAAGACCGTCACCCCCGGGGGAGGGATTGCATCGAGCGATATGCACGAGTTCCGGCTGGTCAATGACGGCAAGACGGCGCTGATGACGGTCTATCAACAGCGGCAGTTCGACATGAGCCTCTGGAATGTCAGAACGGGCATGGGCTGGTTGATGGAGAGCGTCTTCCAGGAAATCGATGTGGAAACGAATCAGGTTGTGTTTGAATGGCGGTCTCTGGACCACGTCGATCCGTCCGTGAGTTACACCTACCCGTCGTCCACGGACACGTCCGGCACCGGGCTCGAGCCACGGTCTCCGTGGGATTATTTCCATATCAACTCAGTCGACAAGAACAAAGATGGCGATTACCTGATTTCTTCGCGCCATACGAGTTGCATCTACAAGATCTCCGGCAAGGACGGCTCGGTCCTGTGGCGGTTGCACGGCGCCAATCCGTCCTTCAAGAACATCAACTTTAGCTTCTCGCAGCAACACGATGCGCGCTGGCTCGGCGAGAATGCTACCCATACACTCTTGTCCCTGTACAACAACGGCTACAATGGCTACAACCAGACACATCCCTATTCGTCCGGCATGATCATCCTCATCGACCACGTAGCCAAGACGGCGACGCTGGTCCGCGGATACAAGCCGCTGAATGACGACATGATCAGCTCCAGTCAGGGAAATATGCAGGTGCTACCGAACCGGAATGTGTTTATCGGCTGGGGGAACAATGCGTATATATCCGAGCACGACGAGCAAGGCAGGCTGGTCTTCTGGGGTTACATCGACAAGGACCGGATCATGAACTACCGGGCCCTGAAGTTCGAGTGGGAGGGCAGTCCGACCGACGTGCCCGCTCTGTGGACCTATGCCAAAAGCAATGATGGATTCTCGCCCACTACGTTCTACGTGAGCTGGAACGGCGCAACGCGCGTGAAACACTGGCGTTTCTACGGCGCTGCAAACTCGACCGGCCCCTACGAGCTCCTGAGGCAAGTCGACAAGCAGGGATTCGAGACCATGTACACCAATTCGACCTTCTACCCCTGGTCGTATGTAGAAGCAGTCGACGCCCAGGGCAGAGTCCTCAGCAAGTCCCGGAACCAGTTCACCTTCACCCCGTCGCCGGACCTGCAAGGCTATTGCGCGGATGACTTTTGCCGCAAAGCAGAGGCATACGGCTTACCTGGCGAGGTCGACCCGAAACCGTTCATTCCTCCTGTGGGAATCAATTCCGTCCCTTGGATAGACCCTGACCACCCAGAATCGCACTACAACCTGGGGCAACCCGGTGCAGCAGCCCCTACATCCGCTCCGCAAGGTGCCAAGGGGGTATATGGTAAGTTCCTGCTTGCAACTGTGTCATTTGGACTAGCTACTGACTATATCCTAGCACAAGCGGGATGGATCGTTCCTGTGACCGCGGTGGCCCTCGCGGCAATCGGGGTGCTTTTGATCCTCCGGGTTTGCCGCCGACAGCGGCATCCGCAGCGAGAAAAAGAGCACAGTTCATCCGAGTCCTTAAACGAGCATGAAGCAAAAGCTTCAACGGGTGCAGCTGGATTGCGCTGGTGGGACTGGCGACGATGGGTCGACTCGCAAAACGAACCGCATCATTACTTTCCGTTATCGGAACAGAGGCCGCATAGGCATGCGGATTCATGATCATCATTTAGAAAGATACACGGTATATAATGGAATTAATGGTATTGTACATATAATTATCTAGAGTCCTCAAATGTCGGAACCAATCGTGTACGGTACAGTACACCTTGCCAAAAAGACAAACCGTCACAAGATGACAATACACATGCCGAACGAAGAGCAGCCCGGGATTACGTAAGGGATACACGAATTGACTGACTCGCGCACTAAAAAGCTGACGATTGAAGACACTAGTCTACCTGTACATGGGCAGATAGATGTTGCAGGGCATACGTAAGTCCATACGTAGTCTATCTGTCTACTTTCTTCCGATGAACTACGAATCTAGATAGACCACAATGATGGAGGTTACTTTGAATTGACGGTTGAACATTGGAAACCTTAATTATGACCAGATTGGCAGTCAAGAGTACAACGCTGTTTAAAGTGAAACACTGAAGGAAATGGTATTGTGGTAATTGTTGATCATACCTAGGTTGTCTGTAACATAGATAAACAGCAAGACAGAGCAAAAATAGGGCATGACCTCACCAGACCTGCCAAGCCTCTGCTCCGTTAGTTTGACCCATGGGAAGAGTTATTCAGGTTATTCAGGAACCAAAGACGGGAAGGAGGGCGAGATTATGAACATACCTAAACGGGCAACTCCACCCAAGTGCCAAACAATTTTGTATATGGGCCATGGCCAGATGTTGATATTGGTGTCATCCATCCAGCCATCCGTCCTTCGTCTTCTTGGCATCCGGCTATCCTTTTTTTTATTTTTTTATTTTTTTAACTTAATTTATTTCTGGCTAAATTGAATATACTTACTGCAATAATTGGGGTAATCCACCTGTTACAGATTCAATACAGCTGCTGTAAAAGGAGGCAGGTTTCATCATGGATTCAGATTCATTACCTTAGACACAGATGTACTCCTAAGATAGTCAGTAACTGTGTCATGTCACCACCAGCATCAGCATCATATCTAGGTATCTACTCCTTATGAAAGCATTTTATTAGTATTACTGTAGTTAGTCCACTGTGGATAACTCTATCTAGGTTTCTGGGTTACTCCGACTTCCGTTCTCTGTACAGTAAGGATTGTTGGTGATGATTGACATCCGTTTCATCTCCTGGGCTTCTTAAGAGTACATTGTCGTCCAAGGCGACTAGTCCTCCTCCTTAACAATTATTCTTTTCTATTTCTTTTCTTGTAATATTGTTTGATTGCTTTTCAATTCAATTGTCACTCCTCCTGTCTGGTCTATCTCTCCCTGGTTCAGACTATCTATCGTTCATGTTCTGTCTGAATCGTCGTCATCACAAGCACTGCGCCCCTGGGACCCCTCCTACTGGCGTAACCATTTTTACTTCGACTTATCCTATTCTTTCTATTAAGTTTCTACTACTTATAATCCCCAGCCTGTTGACGTAGTCTCAGGTCGCCTGCATTGGCGCCCTATCGGATGAACCACGCCCTCGATGCCTGTGCCGGTGCAGAGAAGAGCTTCCCAAGGTAGCCGGCGGCCTTCCGTGACCAGCGTTTCGTCCACCACCCCCATCACTCCAAGTTTTACGACCTCTTTTAATACCACCACTAATAATCATTATCCTCGCCCACAACAACATCGGGATGCCCGTCACACCCGGGCCACTTCTTGGACTTCCAGTCACGATCAAGGCGGCGAACCTTCTTTTGCCAATTACCCTTCCTCTTCAACTCACTCGCGGCGCCGGCGCGAATCCAACCTCTCTCTCGCAGACCTCACCGAGGGCTCTTCCCCCTCTTCCTCGCTCTCCTTCGACCACCCCAATATGGCTATGAAGGCCACTGCGTCAGAATGGAGCCGAGGTCATGCCCGCAGTCGCTCCCAGAGTATGGCGCAGATGAATGCCTCCCAGGGTCATTCCACCGGAGCCCCCGCTCCCCGCTCTGGCCCCGTCACCTGGATGTCCCTGCCTAGAAAGAAACAACTGGTCCTCCTGGGTCTCTGTCGCGTCTTCGACTTCTTACAGATTGCCTCCTTACAAGCGTACATGTTCTATCAGCTCAAATCCTTCGACGAAACGCTCTCCGACTCCGATGTCTCCACGCAGGCTGGTATCCTCCAGGGCGCATTTACGGCCGCGCAGTTCGCGACAGCAATACCATGGGGTCGAGTTGCCGATGCGGAATGGGGCGGTCGCAAATTTGTACTGTTGGTCGGGCTGGTAGGCACGGCGGCGTCCTGCCTGGGAGTCGCCTTCTCGACGTCGTTCGCGCAGGCCGTGTTCTGGCGTTCGTTTGGCGGTGCCATCAATGGGACAGTGGGCATTATCCGCACAATGATTGCAGAGAATGTCAAGGAGAAGAAGTACCATTCTCGCGCTTTCTTGATTCTACCCATTGGGTTTAATATCGCTGCTTTGTTTGGCCCAGGTGAGTCCTTTGTCCCCCATTAATCTTGCTTGCGATCGACACTGACTCCCACAGTCATGGGAGGTATGCTTGCCGATCCGGTCAAGAGTTACCCAAGGCTGTTCGGCACCAATTCTTCTTTTGGAGGTGCTTCCGGTGTGCAGTGGCTCATGAAATACCCGTATGCGTTGCCCATGCTGGTCAATGCCGTTTTCCTGTCATTCTGCGCCACGTGTGTCGCAATGGGTCTTGAGGAGGTATGCATAGATACCCTGAAGATGCGAGAATTCTACTAACACACCCAGACTTCACAAGCCTGCAAGGGAAAGCCTGGCCTGGGCGCTTTCGCCATGAAGCTCTTCGCCCGTGGGTTGAAGGTTGTCGTTCCATCTTCGTCGCCCCTGTATTCGAGACTTCCATTTTCCGACTATGATGAGGAAGGTCCCCTGCTGAGCCGATCAGTCGATCCTACCGAAAGCTATGAGCTTGAAGAGAAGGCGGCCAAACCTACGAGGCACGCTCGCGTGTTACCGTTCCAACGAATCTGGACAAAGAATGTCCTGTGCACTCTTCTCGCGCAGGCCTTTTTCGATTTCCAGATGGGGTATGTAACAATATCTCCCGATGTAGCTCGCAGCATTACTGACGATTGCCAAGTGCCTTCAACAATCTATGGTTGCTTTTCCTGTCCACCCCTCGATATGACTCCAGCGACCCTGCCAGTCCCGTTCAGAGACTACCCTTCATTTTCACCGGGGGCTTGGGTATGTTGCCCCAGAGCGTTGGCTTCGCAACAGCTATCCTCGGGGTCATCGGCATGCTCCTCCAATTCACCGTCTACCCCTCAATCAACGGCCGTCTGGGTACAGCCAAGAGCTACCAATACTTCCTGTCGCTCTTCCCTCTGGCCTATGCGTTTGCCCCCTACATTGCTCTTGCGCCGTCATCCACGCCCCCTCCAGGACAAGCCAATGGGCCCTGGGTCTGGTTCTCGATTATTGTCGTCCTGTTCCTGCAAGTCACCGCTCGAACATTCACACTTCCGACATCCATTATCCTTCTGAATAATTGCTCACCGCACCCTTCGGTGCTCGGTACGATTCACGGTATCGGACAGTCAGTATCGTCGGCATTCCGGACCATCGGGCCTATCTTTTCTGGAGCCTGGTACGGTTATGGCCTTGAGATAGGCATGGTCGGCTTTGCCTGGTGGCTAATCGCCCTTGTATCCATCTTTGGATGCATAGCAGCGATCTTTGTTTATGAAGGCTCCGGCCACGAGGTTCTGCTCCCGGGAGAAGAAGATGACCTCCGGTAAAATTTTTGCCTTGTTTATGAATCCTTTCGTTTCGATTTCCTTGTCTTGTACATATGTTTCGGCACATGCATAGTCCGGTGTCCTATGGGGTGACCTTTTCTTGCTCATACTTTTTCTACGTCTTACTGGGTTGATCGCCTGACTGGCTGCATCGTGTGCTCGGTGTTTGGCTTTATTGCTTCGTTGCCTGATACTATCTTTGTTGATTCATGCCGTGGGCATTCTTAGCTTCTCTGTCTCATATGGTTGGGATTTTCTGGTTGGCTTTGGGCCTCTGATGCATGATACGGCAAAAGCACATATTCCCTTGGAATGGAAGGGCTAGATATTATAGATGACTGTATCTAGATAGATACAATAATAAAACCTGTCAGATTCACTTGCAGTAGTACAGCGCTGTGGTATGAGGCTACAATGTAGAAAACCTCAAAGCCGACGGCTCATCAACAACTCATCAACAACTCATCAATCATTAAACGTGAATTCTCGCTGAACGAATCAAGGTCATAATCACCGCCGCAGTGCCGCAAACCGTCGAGTCAACTCATCCAATTCCGGTATCGACCCAGAACCACCCGCGTTCCCGTTTCGCGCCCTGGGAGGCCCCTCAACCTGCGTCTCGGACTGGTTCTCGCTGCCGGGAACCTTGACACGTGGATTGGGGTTATCCGACCGCGGCCCCGGCGGCGCAACACTGACGGGACTCTTGACCGACTGGAACCCCCGGGGCGGCGTGGCCCTATTCAACTCCGAGGTCTCGGAAGCGCGCCGCGCCTCAGCCATGTTGACCGGCCGGGTCGGCGTGGAGGGGACAGCAGCGTCGCCATCGCCATCACCGCGCTGGTCAGCATCGCCAGGCTGATCGCCAACAAACTCCTGAGGCGCCTCGCCGAGCTCGTTCTCGCTCTGGCTCTGGGCCCGCGCTCCCCACGAACTCCCATACGCCTTTGCAATCTCCATGAGATAGCTCTCGACGAGCTCCTGTGCCGGTGGCTTCACGCGCAGCCCCTTGACCAGCCGCTCCGGCACTCTCACGTCAAGCAGCTTGTTGTCCTGCGCCAGCGTCATGAATTCCTTGCCCCAGCGCTCGGCGAGCATGCCGCGCAGCATGGTCAGCTCGCGGACATCGTGCGGGAAGCGCGGCCACGAGTAGAAAATCACGGCGGCGGCTTCGTCGAGTGCGGCGTCGATATAACTCGGGGTCTGCTCCTCGTCGTCTGTGGCGGCGGCCTCCTCCGCCTCGGTTTTGCGGCCTCTGCCCGGCGTGCCCTCTGGACTATGTGTCTGCTTCTTCGACCCGGACCCCGCGAAAAGTGAAAACCCCAAGAATGACTTGGATGCTGCGTCGGATGCACCCTGAGCTTGAGCGTGGCCCTGACCGTGGCCCTGACCGTGTCCGTGGCCGTGCGCCCCCATCTCAGCTTTTAGGGCCTCCTTGGCGCGACTCCGCGCGCGGGCGCCCTTCTCCCCGAAGGCGAGCTGATCGAGGACATTGGCTCGCGCGAGGAGGAGCTCGCAGTATAGCTCGACCATTTCCATCACCTCGACGGCGATGTCGGTTGCGATGACATTCTCGACGCGGATGCGGGCCGAGGACTCGCGGCCTTCGTCGAGGAGGGCGGCGAGTTCGCGGCGCTGGATGACGGACGAGGCGTTGTCTTTTTTCTGGAGGAGGCGGAGGCGCGGGATGAGGAGGCGGAGGGTGGAGGTTAGTTTGCTCTTTGATGCTGTGTTAGTGTTTGTTATCTCATTTTGCAGAGGTGTGGTTGTGGTGGACGGGGTGGGATATGCGGGGTAGGTCTGAGTTGCAGTGTCTTTGTTTATAACCGAGATTCCTGGGTGGAAAGGGGTGAGAGAAATCTTCTTTGATAAGACTTACTGTCTGTACTGAAGGAGGCATTCTGAGATTGGATGTTGCTGATCTGGTTGTGTTGGGCCTGGATGGGCTGAGGATGTCGAGGCTGGCAGGTGTCAGGAGTCACTGCCGATAAGTTGATAAGGGATGGCTGCACCCCACCTCCTATCTATTCCCAAGGCATCCACAAAAAAAACGTCCATCACTGCACCTTGATGAACGAGCTATAATAGACCTTATTTGGCTAACTGGTCATCGCGCCTCCGGGTGTTTCTTGATCACAGGCAGCGATACAATGCTTTTTGCAACGTCCCGCTCACTTTGACCATCCGGTTGCATTGTCGTTGCGAGTGTGGATGCATTCTCTGGGACAGTGCGAAGCCACTTCACCCCCTCACGACACAATGACCAATGGCTTTCAATTGCACAATCCCCTTGAGACTATGGATCGGGATGGATTCACCCGTGCAAACCCTGCTAGGATCTCTTGCTGGGCCGACAATGAACCCTTGTTACGGGCGATGGGGTGCTCGTCAAAAAGTCTCTCGCGGGATCAGACAGCGCCTCAGAGAGTCCAGTCGGGGATTACTTCGAATGTCCGAATGTAGACGCAGGAACTGATCGTTTTTCATTTCTTTTGGGCCAATTAGGCTTCTCACAGCGCCAGTCGGGTGAAGCCATCCAGGAGATTCAGGCCAGGATGTGGACTCGGCGACAACGAATAGAAAGAGACAAGAGCCCACGGCCGCTGCCATCTGTCAGAATCCAATGCTGCTAGACCAAAAAGGCATCCAGTTAGTGTACTCCTTAGCTAGTGTTTATACTGGTATTCCATATTGGTCATCCCTGTTGACGACGGAGTTACAGCGTCATCCGCTATCTCCGAGGGTTCTGGATACAAGGTGTTTAAATCCAGATCCAGCTCGTGCATTACTGCCTGGATTATCATTAAATTAATTGAGAGCAACATCTTCATCATGGTGTCCAAAAAACTCACCTGGCTCATCACCGGCTGCTCCTCTGGTTTTGGTCTCTCTCTCACACGCGCCGCCCAGGCCGGCGGCCACAAGGTCATTGCTACCTCCCGCAACCCTTCCCGCACCCCGGAGCTGGTCGCTGAGATTGAAAGCAAAGGAGGCAAATGGGTCCAGCTGGATGTCGACAGCGCCCAGAGCGGCGAGGTGATCACGGAGCTCGAAAAGGGTGGCGAGCAGATCGATGTTCTGGTCAACAACGCCGGCTACTCCATCTACGCGCCCATTGAGATCATGGCCGAGGAGGAGATACGCTCGCAGATGGAGACGATGTACTTTGGCCCACTGCGTCTGATCCGCGCGGTTCTGCCTCATATGCGCCAGCGCCGGTCCGGCGTGATTGTCAACATGAGCAGCGGGGCCTCGCTCGATGGGATTCCCACGATGGGCGTCTACGCGGGTGCTAAGGCTGGCTTGGATGGTATACATCTTCTTTTAAGACGTTTCCAAGGGCAAACAGCTAACTGGCAAATAGCTCTCACCAAAATCCTCGCCAAAGAAGTTGGCCCATTTAACATCCGCACCCTGACTGTCGTTCTAGGGACGTTCAACACCAACATGCCTAACTCAGTCGTCTTGGGCAAGACTCCTCTACCTGAAGGCTACAAGGGCACCTTCACCGAGCAGGTGCAGGGCCTTCTTGTGAGCGGGAAGATCAAGCCCAACGGTGACAAGGACAAGGCCATGCAGGCCCTTTACCAAGTGGTTGTTGGCGAGGGTGTGGGAGAGGGCCACGAGACAGAGAAATTACTGCCTTTGGGAAGCGACATGACTCCTCGTCTTAAGGGAGTGCAGGACTATCTCGGCCACGCCTTGGAGGTGTTTGGTTCCGTGACCAACAGCGTTGATGTAGATAAATGAGCATCTATTCGGAATAGCACAATATATTACTGTCTCTAAGCTAAGCAGCCTTTGGTGTATAGTGATTAGGTCTCAGGTAATATGACATCAGACTCTACCTAGTATGCGGCGGTTAAGAGACATTAAGTATGCGGGGCGCAGATCCCGAAGAATGAGCTATGAGGATGTCCCTAACTTCCGACATGGTACTCAAGCACCTTTGACTTGTGCTTTCCGCTCGTCGTTCTTGTATTCACCCATCGTCAGTCTCCTGGGCTAGAAGCTTAATAACATGGATATATGCAAAGGTCACATTGCTCCAGCCTATCACGAACTAGCGAATAATAGACATTATCAAAATCAGCTATCAGCTCACTATCCAATCTCAGAATGGTATGTTCAAGCCCCATCGTCAATACAATCGGCAACAGCATAGCAGATCATGCATTCCAAATCCCCAAGTCAAAAGAAAACTGCTGATGAGCAGACGAAGTGAAGAATATAATAATATAGGCAGGTCAAAGGTCGTCAATATACAGATAACGTCAGTCGTCAAGAATAGTATAGTATGGTATGGTTCAATAGGACCAGGGTATCCCGAAGAAACGAAAAAGAATTATAAAGTTCGAGGCACCGAAGAGAAGTTACGAAAATGCTAGTCCACGGCTAAGCTGGAGCTGGGTGACAGCAATAGGAGGCACCTGTAGCTCACTACAGGTTGATCATGATCGCTGCCACTGCGCCCATGCCCAGAGTCAGCACGGAGACAGCAACATCGGCGGCGCTGCCCTCCTTGTGTTTGGATGTAGGGCTGGGAGTGGCCGTGGCTTGTGCCGGACCAGCCGTTTCGGCCGCCATGGCCTGCACCGAGGCTGACTGCTCGACGAACACATGGGGCTTGTAGGTGTACGAGAATGCCCCTGATTCCGAAGCCTCTCCGGCGCTGGACGCCTTGGCCGATGAGCTGTGGTCGCTGCTGGCAGAGGGCGTGACGGAGGCACTCGAGCTCGAGTCTGTTTCAGAGGTTTCTGAGGATGACGAAGCAGGAGTCGACGTGCTGGAGGATGCTATGCTGGATGAGGTGGTTGTGGTGGTCGAGCTGGGCTGAGAGGTCGTGGAGGACGCCGCAGTTGTGGAGTGGGAACCGCCCTTGCCGCTGCCGCTGCCGCCGCCGGACTTTTCAAAGACCACAACATGGGCCTTTTCGCCCTTGGGGACTGTCACCACACAGAAGGTGGCGCCTCCGGCTCCAACGGAGGAGCTACCGATCATCTCGTTGACCGCGTTCACTGCGGGGTCGATCTTGCATGGAAGGCCGTTGCAACCGTTGCCCTCGCACTCGATCTCGACACCAAAGTCTGGGACGACGTCGCGGAAGGGCGTGGTGGGCTCCAGATAGATTGGGTTCCATCCGATCTTCACGAACGTGTCGCCATTATGGTCGGTGTTTGCACCGGCAACATAAGGCGACCAGTTACCGATGGGGCTGGCAGAAGTACCCCAGACACAAGCGGTCTCGGTGCCATAACCAGGAGGGTTGATATAGAAGCTGGCAACGGTTAATACGAAATAGAGCATTTTATCGCCGACATGCACTTACTGAGCGGCCGTTTCACACCAGTAGCTGAGGTCAGGCACGGCAAGAGTAGCCACTTCCTCGACCAGCGTGGGAATCAACATGGCCTCGTTTCCAGGCAGCACAGTCTGGCAGAACGCGACTTGCTTGCTGCACTTATTCTTCGCGCCCACGGCGCCTGTGCCGTCCTGGCAATACGGCTTGTCGGGGAACGGCTTCTTGATCTGACCGTCCTTGTCGCAATAGAGACCGCCATTCTAGCACATGGAGCACCGTCAGAATCTTCCTACCGGCGTGAAGCTGCCGATGGAAAACTCACCATGGACAGGGGGTACGAATACGAGGTCGCTTTGGGGTCCCACTGCATCGACACCTGGCCGGGGGGACAAGCGTACGGGCAGTAATTGCCAGGCTCGCAGGCCTGATCGGGGCTCATCGCCCATCCGGCGTTCTTCATGTTCGGAGTCACAGCGACCAGACCGGCATCGGAGGGGAACTCGCACTTCCCTCCTCTCTTCTCTAATGGCGCTCCCACTTCAGCAACGGAGTGGATGGCGCCGTGTTCATGTCTCAAGTGGTGTAGATGCGCATGCTTGGATGCCTCGACGCCGGCGATTAACCACAGCAGCGCAGATGCGCCGGAAACCATGTCGAATCTCATCTTGACGACGTTGTTCCTGTATCTCTCTCCCTTATCAAGTTGATGTTGCGGATCGAAGTCGAAGCGAAGTCGAACTCCACACTCCGGAAACGAAAGACTAGGGTCAGCAAAATAGCAATATAACGAGCGACTACTCCGAAGAGCGAAAAGACAGGGAACCACCACCGGATAAGGAGAGATGGGGATGGATAGAGAAAGGAGGGAAACCGGGAAATGAACGCGAGCGAGGAAAAGGGACCAGCCCCAAGTCTACGAACACGAGCACTACTGTGGACTAGGCTGTTAGCCCATTTTCGCGCCGACTCCAGACCCCAAGAGTCGGAGTTGACTCCGTGGGCGCTACGCTAGCAAGCGGTCAGTAGCGAATGAATCGTGGTATGCCCCATAGATGAAGCAACGGACTTCCTGATTGGGATAATCTCGAGGCTATTTGAAATCTATGCCTATTCGGGCTGACTGGTTGATTATTTAAACCAATGATAAGCTGCTTTGCCCCGGTGGTTCATGCCCCACTAGGCCTAGTGGGGTTAGGCGAAGACCCGAGTACATTGCTAGCAGCCAATCAGAACCCGTGCGTCCCTGAGGCTACAGGGTCTGTCTCTGAGCATGAACCTGATCCTGATCCTACGAATGCTGCTACTCGCTTTAATATCGCTGTATGGAGTACTCTGTATTTACTCCGGCTATTACAGAGTACAGTCTATTTTACCGTACCTTAGTCGCTTTCATGCTACCACGCAGCTTGAACACATTTGAAACCTGGACTGTTTATCCTGTCTCCAATGTTACCTCTGGGGGGAGAGCACCTAGTCTACCCGAAGTAGGGATTTTCCTTTTGCAAGGCCTAGACTTGTCAAGCTCAGTGATCAGCAGGTACACTGACAGTTTTACTAACAGGCACCATTAAACTTAGTGGACATGATTCAAAATTTTCTCTGTAACCAAACTTTGCTTCTGTTGTGGTTTGCGAAAAGGGGGCCAATCGGATAGTAGGTTTCTGGGACATCAACTACCTACCCCCGAATTTACGAGCGAGTGTGTGATGTCTCTGTCGTCAAGCAGTTTGGCTCTCCGTGCTACCTAGATACTATGGAAGAAGAAACTTGAGGACTGAGACCAATAAAGTGGTGCTGGAAAAAGCATTCTCGAGATTTTTAGAAAATAGTTGTTTACGATTGAGCTTGATTGGTGGTATATTTCAGATGAGCTGATCCTAAATAGTGTGCTACAGCACGCCAAGGAGGCCATGAAGCGATGGAACAGTTTCCAGAGCTTAGGCACGGATACATAATGCAGAATGAAGAATGAGTATCACTCTCCAGTCTGTCCCTCAATCTCCTTCCATCCATCAAATACCCCCATATTCTCCCCCGCCCCGCTTCTCCATCCCCACGCAACGCAATAGTGCCGCGCAAGCAACTGCCACTCCTCGACCTCATCCAGCATCTCCAACCCGGCAACACGCTCCTTCTCCGCCTCACTCACCCACCGCTCCCAGATGAAATCAATGTCCGCCGCCGCTTGCCCGCTATCGAGCCCCTGTTCCCGTAATCGTCTCCGCTGAGCCTCGAGCGATGCATACTCATGCAGTGTCTGCAGCTGGATCCCGCGCGTTGCGAGGTTGGCAACCATGGTTCGTCCAAAGGCGTCGTCCGGTCGGATGGGCTCGTAGAGAATTAAGCCCAATGGCACACTCATCGGGAAAAGGGTCTTGGTGAAGTATTCGACGACGTCGATTGCTTCGTGGGGTGAGAGGTACACAAGGCAGCATTCTGAGATGAGTAACGTGGGGATTGTTGGGTCGACACCCGGTAGCGGACAGGGTGGTTGATCCTTCTCCGTCGAATCGGGTGATGATGGGCTTTGCAAAGTGTTTGCTGACGCTGATGCTAAGAGTGTTCGGAGATCAACAGGGTGTAGGTGGTATGTCGGTGAGTGCAATGCGTCGCCGGAGTCGGAGATGGATACATTTTGAGCATTTCCAATTCCCAGTGTTCGTTGCAGAAGGGGTGCTGCGCGGATGAACCTGATCTTTGCAGCGGTGTTGGCGGAGAAGTCGATCTCGTGATAGATCAGATTCGGACTTGAGGCGGACGAGCGAGAGGAAAGCAACCTGAAGATGCGCGTGTCAGATCCTGCGCCTAGCGAGATGATCTGTTTTTTCGTCTTTGAAGAGCCTTCCAAGAATTGCGCAACGAGTCGATCGATGGCGGTGGTGCGGACGTAAGTGCCTGTTGTGCGGCTTCACGTTAGACTGCAGAAAGGTAAAATGGTTGCGGTAGAAGGGGTTACCTCTGTTAATTATGGGAAGCCTTCTTGTTTCGGACCCGGGAGGCGTTAACGCCCTCGCAAAAGGATCCTCAAGATACCCAATTTCCACTGCGCTCAACCGGGAGACGCTGGCGTCATTGTCTGTCCCTTGTACGACACGGTCTTGGGCTGCTATTCCCCGTGATCCATGTCTTTCTTCGCCTGTTGTGCTTGTGCCAAGGCCCCCACGGCCTCTAAGACGCCCTCGACCTCCACCGCGACGGAGTGTGTTCAAATTGGGTATCTGAGAAGCTGACATGTCGGAGAGAGCTTTACGACACGAAGGGGGGAAGCTTTGGGCGGTGATGATATTGGCGGGGTTGTTCGGTCCCCGCCACACTGGATGTGGATCCACTGCACGATCCACGAACGTTATCTAAATGACTGTTTCGAGGATCGATATGAAGCTGACAGAATCAATGGAGGAGAAAAGGGTAGAATAGCTATCCAACATTTTATTTATACCATCATGCT